CTTTGAAAATTTACAACCACTCTCCCCGGACTTCTTAATTTCCTTCCTACAACAGAAATATGTAAATTTTTAAGCAGTAAATTTGTTCCTTTTATTTTTTATCAAAATTGTCATCGAACAATTCTATTTTTTATGGAAATACTTTTTGAACCAATTCTATTTTTCATGAAAATTGTTTTTGACTAATTCCAATTTTTCAATAATCAGGCTTCACACTTGATAATTAATTTTCAAAAAGTAGCAAAAAGTAGCTTTAAGACTAAAATTTTAACTCAAATTAATTTTTAAGTCAATTCTTGTTAGAGACTTTCATTAAACTGATGAAAATTTTATGAAAATTCAATTGTTTAAATACAAAAATAAATATGTGATCATTTTTTATTGAAAATCATTTCTTATAAAGAATTTTATCAAAAAATAAAAAAATAATTGAATCCTTTCAAGAAATTCTATTAACAATTTTAAAAATATTTGAATTTCTGCAAAGAATTTTATTATTTATCAAAATAATTGAATTTTTCGGAAGAATTTTATTATAATTTTTTTAAATAATTGAATTTCTGCCAAAAAATTTGTTATTTTTGTGAATAATTGAATTATAAAGAATTTTATCAAAGTTTTGCAACTAATTGAATTTTTTGGAACGTTTTATTAACATTTTTTAAAATAATAGCTTTTTGCCATAGAATTCAATTATTTTGTAAATAATAATTAAATTCTTTCAAAGAATTTTATTAACATTTCTAAAAATAATTGAATTTTTCTAAAGAATTTTATTAAAATTTTTGAAAATAATTGAATTTCTAACAAAAAAATTTGTTATTTTTGTAAATAATTAAATTGCGAAAAATTGTATCAAAGTTTTTAAAAATAATTGAATTTTTTTAAACATTTTATTAACATTTTAAAAAATAATTAAATTTCTGCCAAGAATTTAATTATTTTGAAAATAATAATTGAATTCTTTGAAAAAATTTTAATAACATTTTTAAAAATAATTGAATTTCTGCCAAGAATTTTATTATTTATAAAAATAATTGAATTTCGGCAAAGAATTTTATTATTTATAAAAATAATTGAATTTTTCCGAGGAATTTTATTAAAATTTTTGAAAATAATTGAATTTTTGCCAAGAATTTAATTATTTTGAAAATAATAATTGAATTTTTTAGAAGAATTTTATTAACATTTTTAAAAATAATTGAATTTTTTCAAAGAATTTTATTAAAATTTATGAAAATAATTGAATTTCTAACAAAAAATTTGTTATTTTTGTAAATAATGGATTTTTTTGAAAAATTTTATTAACATTTTTTAAAACTAATTTATTTTTTGCAAAGAATTTATTTTTTTTTTAAAATAATAATTGAATTCTTTCAAACAATTTTATTAAAATTTCTCTCAAAAAATGTTATGAAACTTCTATTTCAAATAAATAAAATTTTTTGTGAAAATATTTATGAAAATATAATTTAATTTCAGCCAAAAATTTTATTATTTGTGAAGTCTGAAAAATTAAAAATTCTAAAATGTAATTCATCCCTTGAATGCAAAAATTGAACAGTCTTCCTTCTCTCTCTCGAAAAAAAACCCTAAATGCCAACTTGTTGATTATATAATTGCCACTGATCGTATAATTTCTGTGGACCGTTTAATCTCTATTGATCATACAATTATTTCTCTTGATAGTATAATTGCCGTTGAACCGAAAATATTTTTACTGATCGTACAATTCACTATTGATCACATAATTTTCCCTGATCATGTAATTACGCTATTGAAAGTATAATTTCCACTAATCATATATATTATTTTCTTTTGATCATAACCACTTTCATTGCTGCGCGAATTATTCAGAACAATATATACGAAATGCCTCAAGATAATTTCCGTCAAAACTAAATTATAAATCATATTCACTGATTACAATAATTTTGAATACAAGTTTTCGTATATATTTTTTGGCTATACAAAACAATATATCAAATTGAAGCCAAAAAATACGAAAACTTGACCAAAAATAATTCAAAACTGGAAGAAATCGAAAATTCCGACAAAAAGAATTAAAATTCTAGATTTTTAATTTGACCAAGAAATTAAAATTCTAGAATTAAAATTTCCAACTCCGAACTGATATAAATTTTAAGTGCACGTATATATTTTATTTACGAACTTGTTAGACGTTTAAAAATAAGAATACCTGGAATTACGTATTTATAAAATGAATGTGTAAAGAACGGATCAAGCTAACTCGAGGAATATAATAACCTTTTCCCTTATAGAAAAATATAAATACAAATGCTCTTCTCCTCTTTTGAATATACATACATCATCATGAAAAACACGAATACACGCACATAAAATAGATCCAATTGATAACTATTTATATATGCAATTTATATCCACAACTCTTTCGTATGGGAAAAAAAATTACTCCCGAGATGTGTTCAATTGGAGAAGAGAAAATAGATTTTCTCCGCATTAATATTAAAAAACCCGATACTATAAGTGTCTCTCAAATTACTCTCTTTATCACTGCGTGCACTATACAAAGTTTTACGCTCTTGAAATTCTATTACTTTTCACAAGACTCCAAAGCTATTTAAACTTGTTTCGTTATTTAACAATAGACTGCCTATAACTTTATTTCTTAAGTGCATTATTAATGGAATCAACAAATGCAAGATAAATAAAGTCAACTATTACATTAACTATAAATTACCTGTAACTATATATTTGTACAAACACGTACACTTGAAAGTGAATTGAAAACTGGATTTTAAAAATGTCTAATAAATAAAGTAAAAATAAAAAACAAAAAGGAAAATTGCACAAATAAAATTTTACTCTAAACAAACAAAATTTTATTTGAAACAAATAAATTTTACTGAAACCGAATAAAATTTTATTCGAAACAATATATAAAATTTCATTAGAACCAAATAAATTTTACTGAAACCAAATAAAATTTTATTCGAAACAAATAGAATTTATTTGAACCAAATAAATTCTACTGAAAGCAAATAAAATTTAATTCGAAACAAATGAAATTTCATTTGATCCAAATAAATTTTACTGAAACAAAATAAATTTTAATTCGAAACAAATAAAATTTCATTTGATCCAAATAAATTTTATTGAAACCAAATAAATTTTACTTACATTTTTTCTTATATTTTTTTCTTAAAAAAAAAAAAAACAAAAATAATTCCAATTAAACTCCCAACGAATTTGATAAAAATAATTACAACAAAAATCAAGAAAATCAAAGAAAAAAAAAGATGGGAAAAAAAATTCGGGGGAAAAAATTAGTCCAGAAAAATTGAGAGAATGAAGAAAAATAAATGATGGAAGAGTGAAAAATAGAAGATACGTCTAGTGAATTTTTTTCTAGTTTTTTAACTAGTCGATGACAGTATCGAGGATGATGACGGTGGAGGAACTGATCAGGGGTTGTTGAATCGGTGACGCTAGAGGGGGTGAAAAACGTAAGGGGCTAGCGAACTTTCAATTGCTCAGCGATGAGGGAGCAAGCCTCATCGAGATATCTTTGTACGTGCTTTTACACTACAAAGACGAACTCCCTGTCGTTGAGGATAGTAGAACGAATACACACAGACCTAAATATGCACACGTTCGTACTTTTTCTTCAAATTTATATATACAAACGTGTGAGAAATCATCAAAAATTATTTTTTTTTTCATTTTCAAAACTTGTACTTTCCGTATACTGTCAAAATCGAAACAAGAAAAAAGCTTTCCAAAATTGCGATTGATACAAATATTTGACGAAGTAAAATAAAAAAAAAAAGCAGGGAAAGAAAAAAAAGATGAATAGAAAAAGAATTAAAAATGGAAAAAGAATAAAAAAAAAGAAAATGAAAAATAGAAAACAAATAATAAAAAGGTATCAAAAATAGAAAAAAATAAAAAGTAGAAAAAGAATAAAAAATGAAAAAATAGAAAACAAATAAAAGAAGATACAAAAAATAGAAAAGAATAAAATAGAGAAAATGAATAAAAAGAGAAAAAAGAATAAAAAAATAAAAAGTAGAAAAAAATAAAGAGTAGAAAAAGAATAAAATTTAGAAGAAGAATAGAAAATAGAAGAATAGAAAATGGAAAGAAGAAAAGAAAATAGAAAGAAGAACAAAATATTTGCAAACTAATATACAGAAATTAGATCATCGCAACAATTGTAGGAGGCAAACGATCTTTTTTTTTTGAATTTTCGGACATAATTCGGGCAACTAAAGTGTGCGAGTATATAAATGGCACTGTATTGCAGTGATTCAAGTGAAAAAATCTCTCACTCTTAAAAATACCAGTGGTACAAGTATATTCATCGACGCAAATGGGGGATACGCGCTTCCAATATATGCGAGAGCCCGTTTATCGACCGCTTTCAAAGTTTGCACGACACTCGTACGTTCTTGTTTGCGTGTGTTGACTATATATATCTGACAACTAATGTTAAGCACGTGCGATGAAACTTTGAATGTGAAACTTTCAAGTTTTATATATTAGAACACCAAAAGAATAAGAAATCGAGAAGATCTCTTGAATTTCGTTAATTTGTCCATAATTAAAAATTTTCCTCTTTAATTCAAATCCGAACCTCCTATGGATTAATTTGATCGAAATAAATTTTTTTCTACAAACCAAAAATTCGTAAAATTATACAATATTTGTAAAATATTTGTACAATACTTGAAAATAATTTTACAATATTTGTAAAATATTTCTACAATACTTGTAAAATATTTCTACAATACTTGTAAAATATTTCTACAATATTTGTCAAAAATTTGTAAAATATTTCTACAATTTTTGGAAATACTTCTTCAATATTTATAAAATATTTGACCCAAATTTGTAAAATATTTTAACAATATTTGTAAAATCAGACGAAAAATTAGAGAGTAAAATATTCAAAAGTCCTCTCGAGTTCAAACTCCAGGAGTTGGAGGTGAAAAAGAATTTTTCTTGTTAATTCTTACCGGCCACTTTTCGTGATGACCATTTCAGTTCCGAGTTTGTGGAACTTTTCCCACAATTCTTTTCCCTCGAGGGTGACCTTAGGGTCATCGACAACACCGTCCTCCTCGGGATGAGGGGGAATGAGAGGATGATGAGGTCCAGCCAATGGATGATGAGGGGCAAGTGGATGGGGTGCCGAGTGCAACATGCCAGGAGGCAGAGGATGCCTCAATGGCCTCATCGTCGGACCTCCGGATGCTCCTTGGTGATGATGATGCAGAGCAGCAGCAGCGGCGGCTAACACTGCCGCATGCGCTTCTTCAGAACTTTGTGGTCCCAAGCCCAGACCTGAAAACAAAAATCGCATTAGAAAATTTGACACAGAAACACAAAAGTAAAAAAAAATTTCTTCTAATATTACAAAAAAATGCGTCCTTCTCTATATTAAAAAGAAAATTTCCTTCTCCATATTAAAAATAAATTTTCTTCTCTGTATTATTTGGGAAGTAATTTCTCAATCGTAATAATATAGAGAAAAAATCTTTTTTTTTTAGAGAAAAAAATATCAAGATCAAGATAGATATGTTAACAGATTTGCTTTTATATAATTAAGACTATAATGAGGGACATTAGTATAATATATATCGAGCTTCAGGAAATAAAAACCAGTAATGTGAATAGTGAATAATAAGAAATTAACTGCACGTTACCGGATAATTGCGGAACGGTCAATTCTCTTGAACATCAAAACTTTCGTGTGTGTTCGAGAAAATATTTTCATTTTTAATAATTTTTTTTTTATCTTTTTTGCTATTCCAAAAATTTAAAACGTTCAAATGAACAAAATATTTTTTAATATTTTCAAAAATTACCGACTGCAATAAAAAATCAAATACGTGAATTTAACAATTTGAAACTTTATAAAATATAATACTAAAATTTAAATTATTGAATTATTGCACAAATATTAGAAAATATTTTCTTAGTAACTAATTATTTAATTTTATTTATTGTTTTTAAAAATTTTTAATGAAATTTATCGAAACAATTGTATTGTTTTCCATACAATTTTTAATTTTTTAAAAAATTTCTTGAAAAAATTAAATTATTTTTAATAGAATTTTAAATTAAATTCCTCGAAAGAATTTAATTATTTTCAAAAATTTTAATGAAATCCTTCGAATGCATTCAATTATTTTTTATCGATTCTAATGAAATATGCTTCTAATAAATTCAATTATTTTCAACAATTTTAATTAAATCTTCGGCAAGAATTAAATTATTTTTAAAAATAATAACATTCTCCGAAGAATTCAATTATTTTTATAAATAATAAAATTCTTTGCAGGAATTCTATTATTTTTAATATATTTTAATAAAATCTTTAAAAAGAATTAAATTATTTTCAATTATATAATAAGATTCTTTTAAACAATTCAATTATCAGAAATTTTATTAAAATTTCTCTCAAGAATTCAATTATTTGCGTAAATAATAAAATTTTTCGCAGGAATTCAATTATTTTCAATATAATTTGTAACAAAAAATTCTCTAAACTGAAAATTTCGCTAATTGAATATTTAAATTATTATGTTCAAAAATGTGGATGAACATGTTCGCAAGAAATCAATTATTTTATTTTTCTTTACAAGAATTTAAATATTTTCATAATTAAAAATATAAAAATTCAATTATTCTCATATTTAATAAAATTCTTAGAAACAATTCAATTATTTTTAAAAATTTCCATAAATTTCTTTGTAAGAATTTAATTTTTTTCTATAAATAATACAGCTGTTTATCAATTATTTTTATAAATAATAAAATTCTTCGCAAAAATTCAATTATTTTTAGAAATTAAAAAAAAATTCTTCACAAGATTTCAATTATTTTCGTAAATATTAAATTTTTTTTGCAGGAATATAATTATTTTCCAAATTTTTGATAAAGTTCACAATAAAAATTAAATTATATTTTTTACCCAAAGTCAAATAAATTTCTCGAAAGAATTCAATTATTTACAAAAATAATAAAATTCTTATCAGAAATTTAATTATTTTTTAAATTATTAAAATTCTTGTCAGAAATTCAATTATTTTTATAATTAATAAAATTCTTGTTAGGAATTCAATTATTTTATAAAATTTTAATAAAATTTTTCAAAAGAATTCAATTAGTTTAAAAAATTTTAATAAAATTCTTCGAGAGAATTCACTTATTTTCTAAAATTTTGATAAAATTTTTTGTAATAATTCAATTACTTTTCGAAATAATAAAATTCTTGGCAAAAATTTAATTATTTTTTGTAAATAACAAAATTCTTCGCAAGAATTCAATTATTGGCAAAAATTTAATTATTTTTATAAATAACCAAATTTTTTCGCAAGAATTCGAAATTATTTTTATAATTAACAAAATTCTTCGCAAAAATCGAATTATTTTCAATAAAATTTTGTTTGAATCAAAATTAAAGTTTTTTTTTAAAATCAAAATTTTTCTATAACAGTTTATATAAATAAATTTCTTAAATTTGAAAGTATTTTACTGAAATTTCTGAATGAACGAAATTTTTTGCCAAAATTAATATTAGAAAAAAAAATGAATAAAATTCTTTCCTCTTTTTTTCTAAAATTATAAGATATACAAAAATAAATACAGATTTACAGTTCAACAATATATAAATATAAAATAATAAACGTCACCGATTTATTAATAGAAATATGCCTTAAGTGCCTAGTTAAAAACGGATTGACGTATATTCGTAGGTCAATATAGAATAATGTATAGTAGCAATTGTCTTTGACGTAAAACTACGTTGGAGACTCCCTACAACGAGAATTCAAATATGATCGTAAAATACAAAATACCTCGTTTTTACCGCTTTGCTCCATTTTTATTACCCGCCCTGGAGTTCTCTCGTCAAGGTGTTTGCTATAATGAAAACAAAATGGAGGCTCGAAAAAAAAACCGCTTTCGACATGTTCAAATCGCGATCCTAAAAACTGTTTTACGGCTCGAAAACAACATTCACTTATTATTGCTCCCAGAGTAGTACGAGAGAATACACACACATACACGAAGGAAATTTTAGCTTGAGAAAAAAACCACACACCACTCCTTTCTTTCACTTAGAAAAATCAGTTACTTGGCAATTTAAAACAATTCCATTTCCCATTTCTTTTTCATTACACACGAGAGAGAAAGAGAGTAAAATTGGAAAATAAATTCTTTTTCCAAAAAGAAGTTAAGTTTTTTTTTTCTTTGCGCACGAAATTCAAAGAAAAAAAATACTAAAAATATTTAATTTTATGCCTCATTGATGGAAAATTGAGAATATCTGAAGAAGTGGAAAATACTTTGTTTGGAATTTAGAAAATCCTTCTCAAAACTGATGTATACAAATAGCAATTTTTAAAGAGGAAAAAAATTTTGCTCTCTCTTTTCGAGAAGGTGAGATTATAGGATTAATAATATCACTTGTTAAAATCTTATTTGTTTGTATACTTTTCAATCGGATTATAGATTATCTCGAGGTTTTTAATCTATGTAATCCACTATTCGATAATTAGTCATTACTAAAGAAAACTGAGATTTATGGTGGGATTTTAATTTTAAGCCCTTCTAATCTGGGCACTTACAATATTACACTTGAAAAACTAATTAGCCACATTTAAAAGTGATTTTCAAAATTTCGCCCTCAACTCTTTGTGAGAATTTTCATACTTGAAAACATTCTCAAACAAATGAAGTTACAAATATTTTTCGATTCCTATCTTTATTCTCGTGCGCGTCAAAAAGAGTAGACAAATTTTCGCACATATTTTCATTTACACTAAATGACTCTTTGAATGTTTACAATTTTTCTTTTCATTTTCTTTTTTTTCAATAATGAAGTAGACAAATTTTCGCACCTATTTTCATTTATACATTAAAATGACTCTTTGAATGTTTACAATTTTTCTCTTTACTTTCTTTTTTTTCCTTTTAATGAAAAAAAGCTCATAATAAAATTCTCTCACGCGAGAAGTCAAATTTTCGTGGTTTGAAATTGAGGAATAAAACAAATAACGATGGCGCGAAATCAAATCGAGTTGTTTATATAATATACAATCGGACTGGAGAATTTCATGTGGAGCAAAATATAATTTTATAGGAGTATATTATAGGGTGCAGTATGATCATCATCATCACTGGTGAAACGGAGGCAATCGTCTTGCGGACAGCCGATGTTTGTCCTGACCACAAAACGCTATATGAAAAATCATGTTGCACGATGCGGTTACCAGTTTTTGCCACTGACTGCCAATCGTGGCACTTTCTTCAATCCTTTATAGATGTCTTTGCCAGTTAGTATTGACACTTCTCAATTCGTCACCTTCAAAAAAATCTCAATCGCACGCATGCGATAATAAATCGTTGACAAGTCACTATTAGAGACAAGAATTTTCGTTCTGATCAAAAATTATTAACACTCAAATTCAATTTTCCTTATTAATTAAATTCAATTCTACATATTATAAAGTTGCTCCGATTTATTTTTCTTTTTTCCTGTATTTTCCGATTTCAAGGTTGCCACGCTTTTGCTCATTTCAAATTCCCTGACTTTTCCAGATTTTCCAGGTTTTACAAAATTTTACAAAATTTACAATTAAAAAAAAATTACAAACTTTACAAAATTAATTATAAAAAATTGTTATAAAACCTGAAGAAATCGATCACTCCAAGTCTTCGACTCGGAGCAATCGATATCTTCATGTTTTATAATAATTAAAAATGACCGACTGATAAAATAATTATTTTATATTATAAGAATATTGTTACTGTAACTTATTCAAAATTATTTTTTCATCACTTCAATTCAATTATTGTTTTCCAGAATTTTTAACTAAACTTCTTCTTTATAAAGTTTAAATTAATTATTTTTAATAATTTTTGAACAATTTCTTTGAAAATTGCCAAATTCTATTGTTTACAATTCAATTTTACGAAATTTCATCGATTATTTGTAAATTCTTCAATCAAATATATATTAGAAAATAAAAACTTGAAATAACTTAAAAAAAATTCAATTAAACTTTTTCAAAAAAATTAAATCTACACAATTTTCAGTTAAAAGCTATGAAAAATTAAAACATTCAAAGTTTATAATTTGAAACCTTTTCAAAATTCAACTATTTCTAAAAATTCACGCTATAATACTTTCTCTCTAAATTTGAATTAGTAAAAATGTTTACTATTTGGAATTAGAAAACATTTTTACTATAATTCAAGTTTAGAGAGTTTAATATTCAATTATTATCTAAAATTTTAACTCAAATTCATATTTAAATCAATGTTTATTAGAAAAT